TAACATGCAAGAGTGTAAAAGTGCAAAAACTCGAATGATAGTGGACTTTCAAAAGTCAGAATCTGTTTGAAAATCAGGAGATATACCAATCAGCAATAGGAAGTCTGATGTACCTAGCCAATTGGACTAGACCAGATATTGCTGCTGTGGTAAATATCCTGAGTAGACATGTGTCAACACCCACATGAAACCATTGGCAAGGGGTAAAAAGAGTATTCAGGTATTTAAAAGGAACGCTTGATAAGTATCTAGTTATAAAACCTTTAAATGAGTTAAAGTTAAAAGCTTAAAATGTTAAACATTTGTGGATAGTGATTGAGCAGGTGATATAACAGACAGAAAATCAATTTCAGGATTTGCAGTATTGTTTGCAGATGTTCTAGTGGGATGGAAGTGAAGAAAACAGAGTTCCATCGCAACTCAACGAGTGAAGATGAATTTGCAACTTTTTCTGAGCTGTGTTCAGAGATTACTTGGTATAAACAATTAATCAAAGATTTGAAAATTGAAGTAAACGAGGCAATTATGGTATATGAAGACAATACAACATGCATCCAGATGGCGACAACTGATAAAATGCGAAGCAGAAGCAAGCACATAGACATAAAATATCATAATGTCAGGGAAGCAATAAAGGAGAAATTAATGGAGTTACAATATTGTGAATCAGAGAGAAACATAGCTGACATTCTGACAAAACCCCTGAACATACAGAAATACATGGAAATAACTGAAAAGTTGGGTATATGTTCTGCTCAGATCTTAAATTTGGAGGGGTGTCAAGGAAAATTACAGGCCTGAGCAGAATGGAGCGTATTAATGAGAATCCATAATGATCAGGTGTGTTAAAACTGAGTCAGGATGACTCAGCAGTGCTGATGCAACTCATGGATGATACAATGTGTGATCTGATTGGTTCTGTATGTGTATATATGTGTGAATTGTACAGTCAGTTGTATCTTCCTGCTTGAAGATCACTGCTACACATTATCCTGCCAGAATGCTGTAAATACTGCTGTAAATACATGTTGCTGAAGGAAATGCTGCTGGACTGTGCGTGAGTTATTTCTGGACTGCCTGGACTGCGAATCACTCTGCTAAAACTGTGATTTGCGCTAAGACAGGTGCCTCGGTTAACAATTACCTCGTTAAACGACAAAACCACTTGACGATAAGGTTTTTGCAATCGCTATTGCGATTGCAAAATGATGTTCCTATGGGGAAAATTCATTTAACGATGATTGGCTCCCTGCTTCGGGAACTGATTTTTCGCTAGATGACGATTTTAAAACAGCTGATCGGCGGCTCTAAAATGGCTGCCCGCGGTGCAAAATGGCTCCCCGCTGTGCTTTAGGATGGATTCCTCACTTTACAAGCACCGGAAAATGGCCGCCCTATGGAGGATCTTCGGAAAACAAGCAGGTATTTCGCCCATTGGAACACATTGAACTGGTTTTCAATGCATTTCAATGGGTTTTTTAATTTTGCTTGACGAGGATTTCGCTTAACAGCGATTTGAACGGAACAAATTATCCTTGTCAAGCGAGGCACCACTGTATGTACTTTGGAACGACTTTCCATGTCAGTATTTGCTACCTCATAAGGAAGTCTGTAAAGCCAACACTAACTTCCATTCATATGTGGTATTGACCAAGAACTGTCTTTGTGTGAAAACTCTTAGTTTTTTAAAAAATTTTGATTAAAAGCCTCTAGCAGAAGTGCAGGAACTCACAGTAGAATTAACTTAAATTCCCCAGAGTAAATCATCCCCTATTGCTCTCATGAACTGGCAACTTATAGTTTCAATAACTCTCTCTGAGACATCGGTAAAAGAAAGAATAAAAATGCATCATTTACTCAAAGTTGAATAAATCAAAAACAGTATACTGTACAGAAATGACTGCTTACAGCAACAGGCCTCAGCAGACTAACAGCCTGCTTCTAGTAGATTCCGGCAGACTACATTGTAACTGCATACTAAGTGCATAACTGCTGGCAGACTTGGGGGGAGGGGTTTCTTAAGCAGAGAAGCATGGTTGTCTTTTAATTCAGAGGCAGAGAAGCAACAATAGGTTACTGTTATGTTGATTGAGGTTTCATGGATATCCTACACCAGCCAGGATATATTTGTTCTGCATGTTGTAGAGAAATTAGGTATTTTGTTTTTTTCCACCATTCTGCTTAACATAAGCCATGATTTTGAAGACTACTGACACATCTTTTTCAGGTGAAAACATGAATGTGTCTCCCCCAGTTACTCCTGTTAGATCATTTAACAGGAATTTCATACTCCAAGGATCTCTAACACAAAGAACAAAAATGGAGAGAAAAAGTACTGCCAAGGACTTTAAGGTAAGCAGAGCTTTCCATCCCATATCCAGATCATAACAGGGAAGACCTACAAATGGCAAATCCTAAAATTCAGATATCAATGAAATGTACTGAACTAAGCAGATCTTTTCAACTGACAGATTTTTTTTTAATTTCCAAAGATTCAGTTGGCAGAAATATTTTAAAAACAAGATTAATTTCTAATTACATTTTGGAATTCTAAAGTCCCATCTGGTTTGGAAATGCATTTTAATTATAACGCTGGGTGAATTTTTTTTGGTAAAGCTTTGGGAAGAAGGCCTGGATGAAGAGATTGTGAACTTCAGTGCACTGATGTAATAAACAATCTAGCTGATAAAACTAATAGGAAAACAAAGATAAATGTCCAGAGGGATAGCTGTACTAGTCCATAGTTTTCTTTTAGAGATGTTTTGCCATTTTTAATGTTATTATTTCTTAAATGATATCTTTTCTATTTCTAGGAACCATCTATAGGCTCTGCTGTAATGTACTAAAATTATAAAATCCTACTGCCAATAACACACTGCCTAAGGCTGCACACTAGAGTGCCTTTCTATAACAGCCATTATATACATCGGATAAAAAATGGACCCTCAAGAACCCACAATGCCTCAGTAATAGGGCTTTGTTTGGATATCTCACTGAGCAAGCTGTTCAAGTCTTCAGCGTTGTGGTCTGCTGTTGGAAATTCTGCCTTAATGTTCTATGAGATTCCAGGAAGGACGTTGAGCTTCATATAAGCAAGGCTCTGCATTTTAAGATGCACTTTTCCCCCACATTGTCAAATGTACGATAGTATGTTGTCTTTAAAACACAGTATGTTTTTGTATTCTTAACTCATCCCTTAATGTAAGTCAATATCTCACATGAAGGTCAAGAAAGATTGCAGATTGTCCATATTGTGCTCCATTTTTCCTGAGACTTTACTATTGTGCACATAGTCATAGTCACATATGATCTTGTCAGAGCAATAAGAATAATTCCAGGACCAGTTGGTGATCCTGAAGAAAATTGTGGAGCGGGATGGCCAGGAATGTGGTTTAACAAGTCCAACCAAGCAGGGGAGCAGTTTTCCATTTGTAATTTCTACATGCATACTATCATGGCATATTCTGCTAGACAACAAATGAATGTCCTGTGTTTGCGTATCTACAAAGTTCTGTCGACCGACTAAGTAAACTTTCACCTTGATGAATTTGAAGACCCAGTGTTATCTCAATTAAAACCTTGTCTTTCTGTAGCTAGAATTTACCTAGCACAATGCTGCTTACAAGCCTTACCCCAACAGGCAAAATTCAGACTACTGCAGATCCACTCTAGACAGCTATAACTCCAAGTGAAGTCCCCCAGTCTATACTAGTTACTATCTGCTGTGTAGGGCTGGAAATGATTGACATTGGACCAGCATCACTGGGTGAATATGTGAGCTAAACAGGAGACAGCAGCATTGAGCACATCTGGAATGTGTATGAGTAGCGAAGAAGTTAAATGATTTGCTGCAGATCAAAGAGTAGTCAAGGTTCTAGATTTATAATTACTGAAGGAAAGGGGATTCTAATTAAATCCTAATTTTGCCACAATGCAATCAAATAAATAGTTCCATCTTAGTAGTGTCCCTTCTGTATCTTGAGTTCTACTCCCTGAGGCATTTAAGTAAGTTGAAGGTTGAGAATCTCAGTAAGGGCCAGTCATACTGTGTACAAGATTGTATCCTTGTGCTCTGTCTTTGTTAATACATCTAGCACTCTTGGCCCTATGCTGCAATTGCCAACACATTGGATCTTGCCCCACCCCTTCTTTCACCCATAAGCATGCAAAAGGCTACAAAGGTCACCTTTTGACCACTTTTTGATATTAGGAATAGAAAAGTGGCTAAAATGAGATTTGGGCTACAGTCCAAAGTATGCTTACCATGGAGTAACCCCCAGTAGGTTTAATGGGACTTAGAGTGCAATCAGACAGCAAGAAGGGCATGTGTCTGATATCACTAGAAAGGGTCATTTGCAGAGAGTGATTTCCCTTAAATGACCCTTCCATCTTTTAGAGAATTGCTCCAGCTCAACACGAAATAGTAGCAGCACTACAGCTGGACCAAAAAGGTCCAGCTTTGGCATGGACTGGAGTCAGACTGGAGCACAATTCCTCACATGTTGTGTGATCTCTGGGAAACAGATCACACTGACCACGAGCAGCCCAAAACATTATCTATTTCCCTGTCTTATCACAGCCTTACTTCTCAATAAACAGGCTAAGGATTGCATTATATAAGCATGTACCTGCAACCATGTAGGTTTTATTCATTTCTGTTGGGTTTGTGTATTCCTAGGGCTTTATCATAACTCCCTGTCAATATTTGCTCACCTTTTCCCAGCTGCAGACAAAATGATGCTATCATATACATGCATGAAATTCTTATTTGTCTTTTATAGGACTTGACTAATCAGATGGCAAAATTTTGTCTGCAGTGTACAAAAATCCATATAGTATATGATTAATAAAAGCATCTTTTTAAAAATAGGGGTTGAATAAAAATTATAAATTCCTTGGTCTACATTCACATGACTCTGAACTTGTCAAAGATACATTCCTAGATTTTTGTTTCTGCAGGTCTGTGTGTTAATGAAACGTCAGTAATGACAGCTGGTCTACATATTTGTCCAGTGAATACTATAAGATAATTCTGTGTATGTAATATTGAATCAAGACTTTTAATAGATAAGTCTGGCTTTTCTTCTGTTGGTGTGATATGAAACAAAATGAGTTTGGAATAGAATTTTTTTTTCCATAAGAGGCATGAAAAAGCAACTAGTGTTCAAATGTTAAACTACTCGGTTTTCTATAAGAAAAATGTATATCATGTAGGCACTGCAAAAAGAAAAGAAAGAAAGAAAAGAAGTCCCTGCCTGTTGTGTGGCCTTTCAGTTTTTACAAAAGTTTTATTTGTGCCAAATGTGTGAAGATTTAATTTACTGTTTTTAAATCATAAAATATATATGTTAGCACAGCCAAAATGATTCTGTCATCACACACATGTGCGCACACACACACACACACACACACACACACACACACACACACACACACACAAATGAAAAATATTTTAACTGTCAAAGCAAATGAAGACAATATGATTCAGTCTAAGTGGAACTTAACACTTGCATTCTAGTTTTTTTTACCTGCATTCTGGCCTCAAGAATTACTGTCTGGAAAAACTATATGGATACAACAGATTATTTGGGGGTGAGGGTAATGGCCTGAAGTGATTCTCATCAAGAAAGAAGATTATATATTTTAACTTAAGGCATGGATGGAATTCAGGGTCAACTGTTAGAATATAATTATCCAATTGTAAGACCTAACTAGAGTAGACAGGCTAAAATCCTTGTGTGGCTATGGCACACAGCTATACGTTGATATTTTGGATATAAAGTGTGATTCTACCTGTTGGGTAGAAAAGTAGAAAAAATACAATAAAAATATTTTTTATAAAATGTTTGTGATTCCGGCAAGGTCCTGAAGCTCCCCTGGAATCCCATTTGTTGTGGAAAAGCCATTTGTTGTTGGGAGGAGGCAGAGTGGAGTCTAATTTCCTGAGATCATAGCTGCTGATAATATTATCCCAGTGGCAGCAATTTTCAAAAATCAAAGACTTCCCTTCATCTCTCAGCCCCCAATAGCTTGCCCACGCCAAAAGGGATTCCACAAATCTTGACCTTTGATGGGGATCAGAAATTTTTTATTTCCAAAAAAATCACTCTGGCTGATGATGTCATCAGTTTTATATGGTGTAACTCTGCAACAAAAAAAAAGATTTGAGACATTAAATCATTGGAAACTGGGTAAGTCAACACTTACATGTCTAGTCAACCTTGGACTGACGACTGGATTTAGGCCAGTAAATTCATTGTGCACACATTCCTTTTATATAATTGCATTAATTGGGTTGTTTTCCAGAGATATCCTAAAAAAGCAACAGTAGGAAACAGCATTGGGCTGCAACCCAACATGTCAAGTGCTAGTTGTTCTTCAAACATGTAATGCTGTGTCTTCATAGTGGCTCCTTGATTAATCCAGGAGCCCCTCTACTAACCTGAACTTGGCCAAAGGCAACATCATGCTGAATCCTAAGATACTACCACAAAACTTTCCCTATGACATTGTTATTCTTGAGGGTCATTTCCTTCCTGCTAATTAAAGATGAGACACATTTTTGCTGGGAAGTTCTTCAGTGAATGAGTCTTTGAAATGATTGGTAATGCTGTTGCAAGCCTCCTTCCATTTTACAGAAACTTCCCAATGTATTATGCGTTGGTGTGTCTACTTTCTAGTATACTGCTCTGAATTGTACCCAAAATCTTCTACTTGAAGGCACACGTTACCGGTAGCAGCTCTAAAATCAGTCAAAAGCTAAGTGTTCACACCTTTTTATGATATTGCATAATACTGTATCAATGGTGGTTTTCGTTCATAATACATTTAATAGTACAGAATATGATCTGATCTATTACATCATATACAATATTTTTCAAGCATTCACATTGTTTAGGCTGAACCATCATTACAGATAGTACACAGCTCAATTCAGCACAAGGGCTCAATATGTTCTGCACATGCAAATAGATACCACATTAAGCAAAATCCCCAACATCACATATCTGGCAATGTGCTCACTGCATCACATGCTGGATTGGCTTTCCATTCATTTCCCTTATCATGTATGTGTGATGGTTAGGGCTCATAACACTGATCACCTGCTTCAGGAAGTGGGATATGAAGGAAGCAGAGCTTTCAAATGTTTTTTATAGAATCATAGAATAAAGTTGGAAGTCGCTTAAAAGGCCATTGAGTCCAACCTGCTCCTTATTGTAGGAATCTAAATCAAAGTAGATCTGACAAATGGTTGTCTAATTTTCACTTGAACACCTCCAGCACTCAAGTGCTCACCACCTCCAAAAGTTAATTGGTTCCATTTTTGTACTGCTCTAACACAGCAGTCCCCAACCTTTTTCGGTCCGTGGACCGTTTGGGGTGTGTGTGCTCCACGGTTGAGGGGTGGGGACCCCCCACTTACTGGTGGGTGTGTCATGCTTGCTGGTGGGTGTGTCACACTTGCAGGTGTGTGGCCTTCATGCTAATGCTTCCCCCAGCGCCCCTTCCCTACGGGTAAGCTGCCGTGGGTCAACCAGCCTGGGAAGTGCCCTGACGCACAGCTTTGACTCTTTGCTGGCTTGTTACGGAGGGTGGGGAGCGAGCAAGCCAGCAAGCAAAGAAGCAAAGCTGTGCATCGGGGCGCTTCCCAGGCTGGCTGCCCCACGGTGGGGGGGGTGGAGATCTGTGTCCACGGCCCAGTTCCAGCTAACCCACGGACCGGCACCGGGTCACGGACCGGGGGTTGATGACCCCTGCTCTAACAGTTAAGAAGTTTTTCCTGATACTCCAACAAAATCTGGCTTCCTGTAACTTGAGCCTATTTTGCATCCTGAACTCTAGGATGATTGAGAATAGATCCTGCTGCTCCTCTGTATGCTTTTCAAGCAATGTACCCTCTAATTTTCAGCCCCACTGGGCAGGGCTCTGCCTCTTGCATTCACGATTTCACCCCTGTGCTGACATGGAGCCAAATAAGTTGAACGTGATTGATGTGCAGAGGAGGAAGAGAGCTGTGCAGAGGGAGGCGGAGATGCGTGCACCTGCATGCCTGCCCAGCTTAGAGGGACCCTTGCTTTCAAGTATTTGAAGAGTGCTTTTATGTCTTCCCTCAGTCTTCTTTTCTTGAGGCTAAGCCTCAAAAGATTTGTAAACTATACTTCTTTTAATGCAACCTAAAATAGTATTTGCCTGTTTTGCAGCCATATTGCACTGTTAGTACATATTTAGCTTGTGATCTACAACAATTCCAAGATCCTTTTCACTCATAATATTACTGAACCAAGTATTCCCCATCCTGTAACTGTGTTGTTTGATTTGTTTCCCCAGGTGTAGAACTTTGCATTTATCCCTCTTAAATTTATTTTTGGTGTTTTCAGCCCAGTGCTCAAGCCTATCAAGATCTTTTTGAATTTCATTTCTGTCTTCTAGGGTATTAGCTATTCAGCCCGATTTTGTATCATCTGCAAATTTGACAAGCATTCCCTGCACTCCCTCATTTAAGTCATTAATAAAAAATATTGAAGAACACCGGGCCCAGAACTGAGCCTTCTTGTACCCAACTTGTTACCTCTTCCCACTTTAAGAAGGCACTCTCTGAATATGATTCTTTAACCAACCATGTATCCACCTGACAGGTGTTTTTTTTCCAACTGCACCTCCATGGGGGATGCTGGGAGTTGTAATCCAAAAGCACCTAACATTTCCAAGCTCTAAGGAAGACATCCACCCTTTTCATAACAACCAGGTGAATCACCTGTTTTACAGATCTATAGTTCTTGTGCTCAGACATATATAATCCATCAGAATCTTTTGTTTGGTGCTTGCATTTTTAAAAAGCAAAAATGCCAAGCTGAAAAAAAGAGGAAAAGATAATATGTAAGATTTAGAAGGCCTTTTAGACTGAATGGTACTATCTAGATTTAAGTATATGTGATTTGCACATAAAAGAGCAGTTTTCCCCCTCCCCAAAAAAGACCAATGGTGGGCAGAAGATCAGGGATCTGCTAATAGATCTTTGGTTGAGTTACAAGACATTGACAAGGAGCAGTGACAGAATTCACACAGCACTCTTCAGCTTGTTCATCTTGTTGCAGATCTTCACCTTACCATGGTGTGTCATCTGGATTGTACCCTATTGGACTTCCACTTGCATTGACTTTCTGCTCCCCATCCTTGATTGTTCTGCATAACCAGTCAAACAGCTAGGTAATATTCTTGAATCATAATGATGCAATGCACACAATGGCCATGGTTTAATATTTTCTCAAAGAAACCATGCCCACACTCCTTACCCCACTTCTTCCTATCCTCTTCTCCCCCTAACATATCTTCCATATCTTTTCTGCAGATGTGATAGGTGGGACTATTTCTGTTGGTGAGAGTTGATGAAGCAGGGATAATGAAGTGATTTTTTCCCTCAGCAACCCTGTATCACACAATATGCTGGCTCTTAGATACCTGTAATACCTATGTTCCTGTACCTTACAATGTATTGCCATGTCACTGTGTTGGCATGGTGAGATCACACACATGCCAATTAGGAAGAGAGGTGCTCTGTTTTAGCTTGGGCAGTGGACAGTCTTCAGGTCACTGGAATGTCCTTAATATAGGCATGGTCAAACCCTATCTAGACCTAGCTACCTAGAATGAGCAACACCCAAAACATTCACATTGCCACTATATTAGGCTGTTGAAAAAGAGCAGCGTATGAAAATGAAGAGGAGACTGATGTATGAAAGAGGCCATGCACTTATTTCTGATACCAATCACACATTCCTAGGCTGACCATCTGCTCAGAAATACCCTGCCACTTCATTCATAGGGACATGTTTGTTTCCCAAACTACTATTCTGTACCTGACTCCAGTTGGTTGATCTCAGGACTGTAGTAAAAATCGAACTAGAGTTCACAAGCCTGCCTTCTGCCTACCCCCAAGCTTGGCAAAAGCAGAAATATATACATAGCATCATGGGAGTATACAAAGAAAGATGATGGCACTTAAGACAGAGCTAAGAACATGTTTTTCTAACATGTACAACAGAGAGATACAAAATCACCAGGCAGTATCTTCTGCTTTCACTGCTTCTTGTTCCTGTATAGTAGTCAATACCAGATCTAGGATGTTCCTTCCAGACCTTTGGATGTTCTGGCCAAATTTCAGCTGCCTTCTCCCAAACCGGCCAATAGGTCGAACTCCACGCCCCACATACCAGAATGGATCTATCTCAGGACCTGGGATGCAAAGCAGAAGAGAAAATGCAGGCATTAATTTTCTCTATCAAATCAGCAACACTCAGCATGGACCTATTTTAAGGACACAAATAATTTAAATGAACCCCAAGAAAAGCACATGCCTTTCTCTTTCTTGCTGGAAGTATAAGAGTTTCAAATCATAAAAGAGACAACCATGTCCGAAAGCAAAGATATTGGCCATACAGGTTGTAATAGAAGCCCCGTGAAGGTAAGGGTGCCCAATGGCCCAGAACACAACACCATTTCAACTCAGTTATTGCTGCTATATATTGCAGTTGGTTTTGCTTTTCCCAAAGCAAAACCAACTGACAAACATGGGACATGGTTGTTGTTATGTGCCATCAAGTCAGAACCAATTTACAGAGACCCTAGTAGAGTTTTCAAGATAAGTGAGATATTTAAGGAGTGGTTTTACTAATTCCACACCCCCAGTAAGCTGCCACAGCTGAGGCAGATTGAAACCCAGGCCTCCTGAGTCCTAGTCCATCAC